CCAATGGAATTGGAAATCTGTCCTTGATAGTTTGTTTATTAAGCTCCCTATAATCCACACAGAGCCTCCATGAACCATCTTTTTTCCCAACCAAAACTATAGGGCTAGCATAAGGACTGGTGTTGTATTGAATAACTCCACTATTGAGTTAGTCCTTAACTAACTTGTCAATTATATCTTTTTGACGTTTGGCTTATCTATAAGGTCGTTTATTCACTGGATCTGCCCCTTGTATCAGGGGTATTTTATGATCATGCGTAGGCCTCTTTAGAGGTAATTCTGTTGGTTCCATAAAAAGATCTTCAAACTGTAATAAGAGAGTTTCGATACATTCCTGTACAATAGTGTCAGAAGCATGAGTAGTTAAGGAAGAAAAAACTCCCTAACCTCCCTCACAAATGTGCAACATTGACAACTAAGGTTCTAAATTCAAGACCTTGTTTAGCCATTTCTTCTTCATAGTTGTTAAACCTGATGGATTAGCCCCTCTTAAAACCAGCTTTTTTCTGTCCATATAAAATTCCATTGATAGTTTGTCAAGATTCCAGGTTATGTTTCCTAAGGTAACTAACCATTCAATTCCCAATACTAAATCACAACACCCCAAGAGAATCAGTAACATATCTGAGACAAAGTTGGTTTGTTGGATTGTCCAAGTGAATTATTTGACTACGGAGCAGATTTTTACCTTATTCTCATCCGCAACAGCCACACTTAAATTTCAAACGTCCTCAATTAAGCAGCCCAATTTCTTAGCCATGTTAACATCGAGGAAATTATTAGTACTCCCGCTATCAATAAGTATGTGCAGAGGTCTCTTTTTAAAATAGCCAATCACTTGCATGGTCTTGAAAGTAGTCACACCTGTCAACGCATTTACAGAAATTTGAAGGTCCAAACTGTCGTCCAACATAGGAGTCACAGAACCAAGGTTGGAAACTGTAATATCATCACCAATCTCACTACTGTCATCATTATCCGCTTCCAACATATGCAATTGGAGTTTCTTATGGGTAAGGGCATGGGCTGGGGTAAAAGGCTCATCATAGAAGTAACAAAGCCCTTTGGCTCTTCTCTCATTCATGTAGGTTGGGGTAAGCTTTTTACTAGTTTGTGTTTGGTACTTGGGGAGTATAGTTTGGTTAGCTGGTTGTTTAGGTGGGTTGGTAGGTAATATGGATTTGGAAGGTTGTGATATCTTACTTGGTTTAGAAAATGGGTTAGAGGTAAAATTGTTTGCAGCAGCGAATTCATATAATTTTGCCAAAGTGAAAGCCTTCTGAACATCCTGAGGTTGAAACATCCTCACCATCAGTTGAATTTCCTTTTTCAATCCTCCTAGGAAACAACCCAACATATAATCTTCAGTTAAATCCATCCTAGAGATTAGGGAGTCAAATTCCTCATGGTATTCAACTACTGATCCTTTCTGTCGAAGCCTCATCAAAGAAGCCATAGGGTCATCACAGTTATCTCTGAATCTATCAGTTACTATCTTAGTAAACTCAGTCCAATTGGGTAAAATATGTACACCTAGCGTTTTTACAAAGGCTGTATGCCACAGGAGGGCTTTTCCTTCAAAATGAATAACTGTCAAACGTACTTTGATATCCTCAGGAGTACCGTCAATAGAAAAGTATGTATTACATCGGTAAATCCATTGATTTACTAAATCTCCATTAAACCTAGGAAAGTCAATACGTGCTAACCTAGTGCCACACGAGTAATTGTTATTCGCATGATCTTTACGTCCCGCATTCACAACACTTCTATTTGTCGCTGTCAATTCGATCAGGTGCTGGCACATTTCTTGGAAGGAATGTTGAATTGATTGATCCATTGAAACCTGCAAGCCTCCTGGACATTCGTCTGAATCAACATCGCCAACGCCATCAATCTTTCATCCAATCGCAGATTGATTTTTGATTCAATGCGCTTTTTCGATTCGCGTTGCGCAGCCTGGCTTCTTGTTGCATCTATCATTGAAGAAGGTCCTAGACAAAGTCACTGATACCATTGATAAGGTGAATCTAGGAACAGCTACGTGTTCGAAGATTTCACAAGATAATAGGGAACTCAATGAAATAATGAATTCTGAATATTACTTATTGAAGAAAAAGAATGAAGTTCACACAGAAAATCTTTTTTAAAAACAAAACTTTTTCCTTACAACAGATGAAAACAATTTATAGTTTGTCAATTTCTAACTAACTTCTCATATGCGAAATTATAACGGAATTCCTGCTAACTATCCTTACACGTGTACAATGAGTATTAATGGTTTAGTTAATAAGATAGGTGAGGGCAAATAAAACCACATTTAACGTTTGTTAAAGACTTGAAGTCAAAGTGGAATATGCACAAAAGAACACAACCCTAAAAATCTACTCCCTAGAGGCTAAATTGCAAGCCTTGAATGCAATTTCACATTATTTGTGGCTACTCTCTGTTTTCTTCCCTGAATTCCATGTACTTTGTTTAAATTCGGGATTTAAAACCAAAATCAAGAAAAGGGAAAAGATGGAGCTTCTTTAATTAACAGTAATAGATGGATATCACATAAAATATGATTTTCTTCTTAAACCCAACTCTTTCAACTCTTGCAAGAATTACATTAATTATTTCTGATGTCGCTACACATGCCAAGAGAAGATGCTATGATAAACCTCCATTAAGCTATTACCTTGCCAAATTGAACTGTCCTACCAAGGATCGACCAAGATAAAATGCCTTTATTATGTAAAATATAAAATAAATGAAATGAAAAACATATTAAACAAAAATAAATTTGTAAAACAAATATGCATAGTTCACACGGATACATAATGTTTTTAATCTCTACATTTTTATGATGTTTTAATGTTAATTCCTTAAAAAATTAGTTTCCTTCCTTATTTTTCTTTTTTAAAAAAAAATTAACAAATTTAGATATTGTGACGCGTGATCCAATAAAAAATTTATATACAAAAATCTCTTAATTAGTCAGATTATTAATAAGAATTAAAAGTGTTGAGTTTTAAAAAATAATATAAAAATAAAAATTTGAAGAATTAAAATTAAAATATCATAAAAATATAGAATTAAAAACATATTTAAATTATATTGTGTGTGATAATACAAGTTTATAATATATTTATAAAGTTATAGCTTATTTAAAAATTTAGAGTTATTCAATAAAAATTAAAGAAACAAAGATACTCATCACTTTAACTGTTTAAAAGTTAGCTAATAAAAAAGTTATCCCAAGTTAGCTTATTAGAAGTTAGCTATAGATATTTTTTTATTTTAATTCTTGACTTTTTAAATATTCTATAGCCACAAAATAATATTAATATTTTTTAATTATTTAATATATTTCAATTAAATATAAGCTTAATTTTATCAAACAACTTTAATTTAATTAGATAATTATACATTATAAATTTTTACTGATTAACTGCAAATTGCAAAGTATAAACTTTCGACTAATTTTATTAAATAGAGTCAATAACATTTCTTTTAATAGAATTGCAAGTAAGAATTTCAATTGAGCAGAACGAGTAAGGATAATCGACACCCATGTGAATATTTATTATAAAAAAATAAAAAATCCTAATTAACTTTTATGTAAAATTATAATTGAAAGAAAATTAAAACGCTTAACTTTAAAAAAATGGCACAATATTTCGTTTCAATAACAATACCAAACAGGTGCATAAAAAATCATCATAAAACTAAGATTATATTTAATTTAATAATATAAATAAACATAATTTTAATTAGGCTTAAATATATTTATTATTTTTACAATTTTGTGAAATCTTTATTTTAGTCTCTAATTATTTAATTTTTCAAAATTAAATATTTTCAGTCTTTAATAATAACATGACTAAATTAAAAATTATAACGTCAAATTAAAAGCAACAAGTTTAAGAAAAATGAGAACTAAAAAAAATCAAATTTTTTAATAATTTTATATATATCTCAACCCTACACCCAAATTTTTAACAAGTAGGTAAAAAAAAATGTATTTAATAAAATTTACAAATACCTAACCTTACCATGTGATCCCTAGTTGTAAAATGTGATGTGAGTTGAATCTGGATTATCTGCAGTTTTGGCAAGAATTGCGCCCTGCAGTGTATTTTTGTTTAAGCAAATTTTATTTTGCTTAAGCGAATTTAACAAAAATTTATTTTTGCTTAAGTCAAAAAATTTGCTTAAACTAAAATTGCAAAAAATTTTAAAACTTCATATTCTTTCTTTTTAAACTACATAAAAGTTAAGAAACATTTGTACAAGATCATGTAGTCACACTTTACGATCATATAACAAAAACTTAAATATTTCAAAACATGTAATATCACAACTATTTCTTAACAAATTTCTCAAAATTATCATTTCTATAATCTATATCATCATTTTCAACAATTTAACTTGATTTTAAATAGTTTTACCTCACTAATGTTTAACACAAGTAGTACACTAGACAATACATTTAAAAATATTTATGTAAAATCATATGGTTACACTTTATGTCATAATACAAAAACTTAAATGTTTTAAAACATATAATAATGTAACTATTTTTCAACCAATTTCTAAAAGTTATTATTCCTATAATTCTTATTACTATTTTCAACAATTTAACTTAATTTAAAATAGTTCTATCTCACTAATGTTTAGTACAAGTATCATACTAGACAATACATTTAAAATATTTGATAGAATAAAATATGTAAGAATCTTTGATAATTAGATAGTCATTAGTAAAAAGCAAAAATTTTTCAAATTTTCTACAGTTTAGAGTGAAAGAAGATAAAATTTTAAAATTTTTTACAATTTTAACTTAAGCAAAATTTTTTACTTAAGCAAAAATTTATTTTTTTACTAAATTCGTTTAAATAAATTTTTTTAACTTAAACAAATTTTTTTTTAAAATTCGCTCTAAGCCAAACGAAGTTTGCTCAAGTAAAAACGCAGTGTGTCCCTCTCAAAGCAGCGGCGCGAAAGCTGCGAAACACTTGTCTTTGTTCTTCGCTTAACCTAACCTCATAATACCTGAAGCCCAATGTTACCCATGTTTCGTTACTGTCGCAAAACCTTGTTCAGCCTCAACCACAACCGTAACCTCAATCCCACACCATTCTATTTTCTTCAACCTTCTCTGTCTTTCATTTCCTCTTCCGAACAACACTCTTTTACACTGAACTACCTCATCAACATTTGTGGCTTCTCCCCAGAAACAGCTTCCAAACTCTCCAACCGAATTCGTCTCGTTAACTCAGAGAGGCCCGACTCAGTCCTTGCCTTGTTCAGAACCCATGGCTTCTCAGACGCTGAGATACGTAGGGTCATCGATGGCTACCCAAGGATACTCACTTCTAGATCCAACAAGACCATTCTTCCAAAACTCAACTTTCTTCTCTCAAAGGGTGCTTCAAGTTCCGACCTTGTTCATATCGTTACTAAAAATCCCAGGTTCTTGTACTTTGGCTTGCAAAATTCCTTAACCCCACGTTATTATTTCATCAAAAGTTTCCTTCATTCTGATCATTCAACTTTGCTCTCGATAAAATCCTGCCCTGGAATTATTTACTCTAAGAACCCATCACATAATGTTCAGGTTCTGCTTGAAAATGGGGTCCCTGAATCCAAGGTTGCTATTAGCCTTCGTTATTGGCCTTCTTCTCTCGTTGTGTTTCCTCCTATCTTTAAGAATGCAGTGGAAGAAGCGAAGGAAATGGAATTCAGTCCCAACAATACAGTATTCATTGTAGCACTGCGTGCTAAGCTTATGAGAAAATCCTTGTGGCAAAGAAAGGTTGATTTGTATAAGAAATGGGGTTGGTCTGAAGAAGATGTTATTTCAGCATTTGTGAGGTATCCATGGTGCATGTTGGCATCTGAGGCTAAAATTGAGGCAATGATGGAGTACTTTGTCAACCACTTGGGTTGGAAGTCTCATATGCTTGCCCAACAACCAGTGCTTATTATGATGAGTGTGGAAAAAAGACTTATTCCCAGGGCTTTTGTCTTGCAGTTTCTTCAGTCCAAAGGTTTGATTAAGGATGTTAATTTGGCCGGGGCTTTTAAGGTTGCTGAAAAGACGTTCTTGAAGAAATATGTGAATTGCTTTGAGAAGGAAGCTTCTCAGCTGTTGAAGCTGTACGAAGAAAGAAGAGATCCTTCAAGATAACACTGATGCATGCAAGCGGCATCAGTGTCCTTTTCTCGTTTTTAATAAGTGGTCATTTTATTTAATTGATAATTGGTATAGGCTTTCCATTTTTTTTATTACTTGATGCATTAGGATATCTTCATTGCTGAGAGGGAATCTCGCAACAGTTTTAGACCAGAAATACTTGTTGCATTTGACAATTGAATGTGATCATAGATACTAGTTCATGACCCATCTGCCATGTTTTGCCATATTTTGTTACGAGGGTTCGTGATTTATGTTATGCCTAGTAGCACTTGTTTTACCTTGTTTTAGAATCACCTCAGTTGGAATTCTATAACTCGAGATATCATTATTTCTAAAATTCTGTCCAGCGACCACCAAATCAGTGTTTTTGTTCTTTTTTTTTTATTCATTTTAACACTAAGAACCAACACCTAGTTTGCCCAAAAATTTATCACTAAATTTTCTAATTTTCTTATAGAGTTCTAATTTTAAAGATCTTAAGTCTGCCCTTATGCAAATGGAGTTCATATCAATTAGCTTAAGTTATCTGGTAAAGTTAAGGTACATACTCTGTTGTTTTTTCAGTTATTATTTCTGTATTACTTAAGGTTCATTGATATTCCAATTTGAACTTAACAAATTCTGTTACTTGATCCTGTAGGATTTCTTTATCTGTTTGAATCCCGAGTTGTGAAATCCACTTTTTTTCATTTTACAATTGAAATAATCGCCGGTTGTGATGCAATCACTGGTAGATTTAGAGTTAAGAGTTCAATTCGAATTAACTATACATTCACTTTACAAAAAGGCTAACTGGAATACATGCATGGAGGTAAATCAATGTTAATTAATTACTGTCAATGAACAGAAAGTGAAGAAACAGCATGAGGTAGAAGCAGATGAATGATATTGTGGTAGGTAAACATGACAGGAAAAATAAATGGCTCACCTTGTTGGTAGTGGTAGTATATAGAGGTGACACAACTGCAACAGACCATTAAAGGTGCTATATATTTCATGCCAAACTCAATTTTAACCATTGATCTTACAACAGGCCTTATATGCTTCTAAATCATTTTTTAAAGTGACTTGCAATTGGGACCTTCCAAATTGAGTTTCAATTGTATAGGCTGATCTCTTGATTCTAACTTTCCAGTGTTTGTGTGTGTGTGTAAATAGCAGGTTCCCTACGAAAATCATGGAAAAAAGTTAAAAAAGAAAGGTTCATTTAAATTTGTCCCTCTATTGCATAGTAGTAATAAAATTTTCATCAATTGAGAGGAATATTTTGAAAAAAAAAATCACCAAATTAGTCCTTAAAAATCAATTATCCATCACATTGGTTCCTAACTGATTTTATTTAAACCTGTGGTCCTTGGTAGATTGTTCCATGATTCTAACTTTTCTTTATCATACATTAAAAAAGTTATATTTCTGTTCTCACATCTCTAATTATTTTAACAGAAGAATTATATTATTCTTACAATAATTTTTATTGAATATTTTTTTGTACTCACAAACAAAAGAAAAAAAAAAGGACTTGCCTTTCATTATTAAGTATTGGTATGGTTATATGGATAATTGTCCTGTTTGTCTTTACTTTTCACGAGTATGTTACAGTGTAGTATATGTGGAGGATCGTTTCTCCACCAAAGGTTAGGATCCTCTGCAATGTCTAAAAAATTTTGCAAGAGTTTACCCAACAATTTTTATTTTTTTTTGCCATAATGTAAAATTTATAAGAAACAAGTACTTGATTTATCAATACCAATAAAAAATAGTTATATGTCATTGATTTATACTTTATTTTATAAATATTTATAGTATTAAATGGTCAAATTGATGTGCTATATATTAAATGAATAAATGTCACTACTTTTATGGATAAATGGTGAATATATTTTTAACATAATTCTTACAATAAATAAAAGTATAAAAATAACTTAATTAATGCATGTGAAAAATATCTTTGTTTCTTATATTTAATAAAAAAATTAGTAATTGTTTTTTTATAAATAAAACTGGAAATAATATAAATAATATTGTTTATTGAATGATAGCCTTAAGATTAGTGTTCTAAAATTCAGACTAACCCCTGATTCAACCAAAAACTAGACCTATGACTGGTTTGATCCATATCCTTAATCATTTATGCTTTAGTCAAATAGGGATTTATATATTACATAAAAATTTTCAAATTTTATACCTAACAGGATAGGTGAGAATCCAACGTGGATGAGTGAATAAAACACAAAGCACTAACCACTGAATCATTTGGTATTATCAACACACTAATCCCTATTTGTTCATAAATTTATTTACTTTAATTAATTAAACTAGTGACTCACCAGTTTAACCAGTAACTCAATCCCTTAACCAAGTTATTAATCAGTTTGAGTTTAATAACATTACTTCATTTGAAAATATCTCAACCATAAGCAATAACACTAACGTGTGTTTGATGATATCTAACTTATAACATCTCATGTTATTAGGATTACTTAATTATAAACATGTTTATAATAAATTTGAATTATTTGTGTGGTTAGCTAACATAATATGACTACGTTAAAAAATATGTAGTTTTCCTACAATGAAGGACTAAATAGAAAAAGTATAATATTTAAAAAGATCAAATAAGAAAAATATAAATAAAATAAAGTTTTTAATAATGTTTTTTATATAAAAAATTCTTTAAGAAAATTTTAACATAAAAGTCTAAATACAAAAAAATTAAAATTTTAAGTGACTGAAAGCTTAAGCGAAGTATTTTTACAATTTTTGATAAAAAAAAAAAAAGAAGAAAAGAAGAGTAACATCAGGGAAGAGGAGAATCAAATGAGTCAATGACAAGTGATTAACATATATTATTTAATTAAGTAGATTCGTAGATAAAGCAATTAATATTTAATTGTAAGAATCTTAGCCATAGAAAATATAATTTTTAATTAAAATAAAATATGACTAAATTATTAAAGGCTCATTACTGTCGGAATTGCAACTTCAAATTTGAACTGCATGCAATCTAATCCCTAGATTTATATAAGCACTGATTATACAGTATAAAATAACTTCTTCAAACAATATATCTTCATAACACCTCCTCTATAGTTGAATATCTATTTTAAAATAATTAAGGAAACAGCTACCATTCACTCCCAATTTTTTCTTAATAATTTTTTTTTCAATTTCGTGAAAATTTTAAGGTGACATTAAATAATTTAAATTATATACATGCATATATATATATATATGTATATATATATATATTACATAATTTCAAATATATTTAAGTTAAAAATATCATAAAAAATATTTTAAATTATGATTAAAAATATTTTTTCTAAATCACAAAAATTTTGTGATAATCCTTCTCAAACTAAGTAAAATTACAATAAAAAGTATATTTTGAAGATAACAAAAAATATTTAAAATTGAAATATATTTCAACAAATTATCCTCACATAAAGATATTTATAATTACTCAAATTCAAATTGAAAAAGAAAAGGAAATTACAAAAATGGGCGTACGTTTACAATATTCATCTATCGATACCAAATTCTCCTAATAAGTTTGTTACTATTATTTGCATCCAATCAAAAGTTGAAGCCTGTTGAGAGGAGAAACTAGAAAGGGAGTGAAAGGGTGTAATTTCAAAAACAAGGGCGCGTTGAAGAGCGCACACACCCAACTATGGAAGTTCCAAAGGATCAAATCGCTACTCTTCTCGACCATGGCCTCTACAACTCCGCTCAGATGCTTGTAACGTTCTACCCCTTTTGAATTCGCATTTGAAAATTTTGATTCCACGCTAAAAATGGTTCTGTTATTTTGATTTCTGGGTTGGTGCTCTAATCCTACTAAGTTGCTGTACTGAACAGGGTTCTTTTCTTGTTTCTTCACCTGCTGCAAATGCTGAATCTGCCCCACACCTCAAAACTGAGAGCTTGGTCTCTGCAAAATTCCATTTTTTTAAAATAATATTATCCCATTTTGTAAATTCTATGTTTTTGGAATTTTCAATCTTTGAAGAGTTCTTGGAAGTTCTTATGATAATTATTCATTCATTTATTTATTTATTTTTGTGCAGGTGCTACTTGGTGATTCATTTTTCCATGAAAGGGAGTATCGTAGAGCCATTGTAAGAGACTGTGCTATCTTTTTTTCGCCCTTTGCATATGCAGTTTGAAAACATTGCTTATTTGTGACTGTTTTTTACAAGCCCTTGTAAAATGGGTAATTGAAAAGTTTTCTTTTTGGGGTAGTGAAGTCCTAGTCTTGTCAATTATCATCTCATTTGTTGATGAGCAGCATACCTACAAGCAAGCTTTGCAATACTACAAGATGATTCCAAAGCAGAACATGGGATCTTCTCGGAGTTCATTGTCGTCGAACAGGTCTTCATCTCCGAATTCTTGCAATGTATCAGTGATCAACGAGAATGAGGTGAACTGGTGTATCGTGCTTCTTTGGTTCATGATAGCTGGATGGACTTGATGTGCTTTTAAGGTTTTGCAAGTCCAGATTTTTATGAAGCTTTTTATTTTTTTATTTTTTTCTTTTCAATCTCTTCAACAGGTGAAGTTCAAAATTGCATCGTGTCACTGTTTTCTGAATGAGAATAAAGCAGCTCTAGTTGAGGTTTGTTTGTTCTCTTCCTCTCTCCTTTCTACAGACCAGACTCATGAGAATGGATGTCCATGGTTGGTTTTTAAAACAATTCCTGTCGGTGTATTTTAAAGTGAAGAATGCTAACTCTATATATGGAGGGATTGGCAATGGAGAAAATGATCCTTAAATGCTATGTTGTGTATATTTTGTCAGTTCAGAGTGTGGCGTTTTTTAATGAGATGAGAAACAAAGGTTATGAAATTTTGTATTACATTATTGGTTTATTTTCAATTTCGTCATTCCTTACGATTTATTTGTGTCACTTTCACATTACAGATGGAAGGAATTCCTAGCAAAGCTAGAAATTTACCAATGAATTTGTTATTAGGGAAGCTATATCGAATTTCTAGGCATAGCCGAGCTGCTGTTTCTATTTACAAAGAATGTCTAAGGTTTGTAAAGTAAATATCTCATTCACTGATTGAACCTTAGATATGGCGCCAATAGCTTGTCTATAAATGCTTTTATGGAATTTTACAGTTTTAACTTATTTGTCCTAACTCCCTTGCATATTGACCTTTAGCCTTCGGGCATGATGTCCACTAGTGTCCTTGTGCCTGAACTGATAGCATTTGCTCTTGTCAAACTCACATTTGCAATGCTTGTTCATCCAATCACATATGTTTCCATTGTCTGAGACATAGTTATTAAATCTTTGATAAATCTGCTTAAGTAGTGCAGGCATGGCATTTTGATATCAGGTGACGGAAAAAATCTTGCTTTTCAAATGTCCTGTAAAGCCATGTAAATAATCTCAATTCAAGTTCAGTAGGGGGGAGGAGAGTGGGGGTGGAAGGAAAAACTACATATATGTGTTGGTGGCTTGACATCTTTCTCTCTCTGCTCTTTCATATCCTCTTAAAGATCATATATTATTTGCATTTTATGAACCTCCTTTCCATTTTTGAATTCTGACTGCTTGCTTTCTCTTTAGGTAGTATTGATTGTGTTTTGGACTTGTGGAATTGGCTACTTGCTTTAAGTTTTTGCTATCTTATTAATTTGCGACTTGATTCTAAGATGGAATTCTTTCTTGATGTCTTTTTGCCAGACACTGTCCTTATGTACTTGAAGCTATCACAGCTTTATCAGAACTGGGGTCTACTGCAAAGGACATCATTTCATTGTTTCCTCAGGTTTGTTTATAAAAGCTGGCAGAAATTAGTGTAACTGAATCTAAATAGGGGATCAGCTGTTGGGCATCTTCAAGATGATCTTTTGATTTGCAACGGAATTGGGTAGCCATCAAATTACACCACTTCTTCCTCTTCTTTAGGGAATTAGGTACTCAACAACAAAGAATAAACTTAAACTTCACCCTGTAGGCTGGCTGATGTGTTCTATATTGCTGAGGAAGGAGTAAGATGAGTTATTTATAACACTAAACCCTCTGGGTTAACAAAATCACTTTCCTTAGGTGGATTTTTCTTAGGTAGAGTTAATTGGTGGAAAAGAAGATGAAACAAATGTTAACGTAAAGTTGGGTCCTATTTTTCTTCTATTTCAACATATGCTTTAACCTCACTTGAAATTTTATCTGTTTTGTGGTCTGATAACCTTTATCTTGTGGTAATTCTGTGTGTATTATTGGCAGCTAACTACTTGATGAATTGATCTGTGTAATTAGAGTACCTTAACTAGCATTATGAAATTTCTTCTACATGTTTAATTGCAGTGGATGTGGTGGATTTATTAATAACTGATTACCTTTTATCGTGAAACTTATTTTTAAGTTGATTAATTTGTAAAATTGCAGTTTAATTGCAATTTAAATACTGTCCAAGAATATAATCGGTGTGCAAATGTTTACTTTCAGACTCCAAATAGAAGTGGTAGGGCTCCATTTGATCACACGGACTCATGTCGTTGGCTTCAAGTAAGTTGTACATAATAGTTCAAATCCTTGTTTGTCTATGTGCTACAAAGTACTTGCTGCCTTTTATCCGTTTAGAGATTTTTCGTTTTATGTTAAGCTATGCAGAGGCATCTTTCTTAACCTGCATCATTTATATGCTACATGGAATCCTTGAGAGCCAGCAAAAGATCACTGCTAGTCTAATAATGGATAAACAAAGATTGATATTTGCAACTATTTTGATGGTTTGGTGGTATATTTACAATGTATTTAGCTTGGCTTGTTGATGTACATATCTCTATGTAATAATCAACTGCAATGTAAACCCAATCATTCAGATATTTATCAGTTGTCTTGCCAGCTACTGATTCTTTGGCTAGCAGGATGATGCTCTTGGTTTTCTATGCATGATAATTATTTGGTAAGGATCATGCATTTTAATTGCTAATTTGGTGTTCTTCCTTGATATTGTTCTTGGTTGAGCTACTTGATGAAACTTGTTGTGGGCCTATACCTAACAGCTTAAGCTTTTGGGAGGGTTGGCTCTTGACATGGTTTTAAAGCATCTATAACCTAGTAATCAATAGTTTGACCCTCATTTCCCCATTTTTCTTTCTAAAACTGAATTTCAATCTGCTTCAAGCTTTCAAGTTAAAAGGACTTGTATGTGAAGGGGGCATGTTATAGATAAAAACTCATTCTTGCCTTCTTGGGATGCAACTAACTTAAGTTTTCAGGATAGTAGGTTCTGGACAGAACAGATAGTTGATTCTTATTTATTCCCTTATATGTTGCTTGGTTCAAAATAATACTTGCTGAGGCCCGAGGATATTAGTTAATAGAATCTGATCTTTTTTCATTTTATAATTAATGTCATTTGTCCATATAATTTGCAATTAACCTGTAACATTCAAGCATCAACAAAAACTGTCAAGGAAGGGTGTATTCTATATCACATGATTTTATTTCCTAAAGAAAATGACCATAAATGTAGGCATGGAAAGTTGGAAGCTTACTTTGTTCATGATTCTGGTTGAATTTTCTTTTCAATTTGGCATCATCTGTTTCATGGATTGTGCTTGTCAAAAGCCAGGCTAACCGTCTGAACTTACCATTACTGATTAATTTATTCCTTTTTTATTTGCAGCGCTATGTGGAAGCTCAATGTTGCATGGCATCAAATGATTACAAAGGTAAGATATTATATTTTATATGGAGTCATTTGGTTATTGATTCCATGCTCGAGTTTTGGAGGCTTAGAGTTGAAGAATCTCACGAGTCAACTTTGTGTGTTTTGGGCATTTGGGCCATTTTCTGACACTCAAAATGTACATAAATTCTATCATAAATTGTAGTAGTGTTTATGCAGCTCATTTTTCTGCATTATCTTTCTGGATTTTTTGTACTTTGTAGTTTCTACTATCTTTTGTGATGTGTCTGACACACTGACACATCCTGTTTTACCGTGTTTCAAATGTTGGCAGGTGGATTGGAACTCTTTGCAGACCTTTTACAGCGTTTCCCTAATAATATACACTTAATACTTGAGATTGCAAAGGTTAGGCTCACTGCAATGCTTTAAAACTCTGTAATATATTGTATACCCTTCCAACCAGGTTGCTTATGCACCTATTTCTAACTTTTCCTTTGGACTTTCTTAGTAAAGGTTTGCTTTGTAAAGCTGTTTTTGTGACAGATGGGTTTAGCTCCTCTAAAGCTAGTAGTTTACCTGAGTGAGAAAAGTAAAGCATCTCAACCGTTAATGAGAAAAATTTTACAAATAAGGGAGTAGATTTTATCAAATTCATGATTGTTATGCATGTGTTGGTAGTATCAACTATTGGTTTTTTCATTAATGATGAGGTTCCTTACTTTTTCCTCTGAAGTGAGAACTTACTTTGGAGGAGCCAAATCTATGACAGGATTGTTACTATTCCTTTGAGTTGACTGTTTGGAATTTTTTCACAAAGTGTTGCCCCTGTTGAAGGATTGCGGCCTTTCCCTACCATCATGGGGGGCCCTTTCCCCTATTAACTACTTTACATGAAATTTCCTTGAATTAATTACTAAACATGTAAATTCTGATGTATATTGTAAATGAAGGTTGAAGCTATTATTGGAAAGAATGAAGAGGCAATTATGAATTTTGAAAAGGTAATACAGAGTTATAGCTTATTATGTTAATATTTATCCCTGCTTCCAAACTTGCTTATTTACATGTGTTCATTGAGCTTATAATTATATCAAAATTTGGTGATCACAGGCCCGGTCAATTGATCCATACATCATAACATATATGGATGAGTATGCAATGCTTCTAAAGCTAAAATCTGATTATTCAAAGCTAAGCAAGTTAGTGCATGACTTATTGAACATTGATCCTGCAAGACCAGAGGTTTTTGTAGCTTTATCTGTTTTATGGGAAAAGAAAGATGAGATAAAAGCATTACAATATGCTGAACAGGTCTGTGTTTTTATTTGACATAGGGTGGAGTTGGTGGACTGATTTATTTTATCCAGTATATAATTGCTTACAATTGACTCATTATTTTGTAATTAGAGTATTCGGATTGATGAGAGGCACATATCAGGCTATATAATGAAGGTAATAATATGGTTTTGCATCAAATCATACGGGGATCTATTTATTTATATTTGTATAGAATGACAACATTGCTTTTTGTAATTTAATATGGCCATGTTGAGTTTATTCAGGGAAATTTATTATTGACAATGAAACGGGCAGATGCAGCTGTGTCTGCCTTCAGAGCAGCTCAAGAATTGAGACCTGATATTCGCTCATATCAAGGTTTATTATTTTTATACTGAGAATAATATATTGTTGCATGACTGCACCTCTTTCCTTGACATTCATGTATTCTGTTGCCGTTATCTGCTGCAAAGTCCCAATAGTAAAAATGCAAAAATTTACAGACTTTGACATGAATCTTAATATTACAGTTTTGGTTCATACATATTTGGCTCTTTCTAAAATGAAAGAGGCTCTATATGCTTCACGAGAGGCAATGAAAGCAATGCCTCAGTCTGCAAAGGCTTTGAAATTAGTAGGTGATGTGCATGCTAGTAATTCTGGAGGCAGAGAAAAGGTAACTTGTCATCAGATATTTAAAATTAGTATCTGTAAACTACTATCTTTACCATGTTTTCTTATGTGTAAAATATGCATTTTTCATACATAGGCGAAAAAATTCTACGAGTCTGCATTAAGGCTGGAACCTGGTTACCTTGGAGCTGCACTAGCTTTGGCTGAGCTCCATGTTATTGAGGGCCGAAATGGAGATGCTGTGTCATTGCTTGAGCGATATCTTAAAGACTGGGCTGATGATTCACTTCATGTAAAACTAGCACAAGTTTTTGCAGCGACTAACATGCTACTGGAGGCTTTGTCACATTATCAGGCTGCATTAAGGTTGATCTCGTATTCTGAAAATATCTTCAGGGAGTGAAATGTACATTTTTTTTCTCCTTGCTTTTTAAGGTGTTATTATAGAAGAATTTATTTTGGCACCACTGGGATTAAATTGGCTTCACTCTTAAGTCTAGACCGCATGTCCAAAACTATGCTAATAGCATGGGTCTCAATTATGGTTTTCCTTTGTACAAATATTGGGATTATAATAAGCTTTTCCTCCCCATTCTTTCATGTAGTAATCAAGTTCTTTGCAGTTAACTATTGATCCTGTTATTTTTTAGGATATACATGCGATGCATGTCTGTGCTCATGGTTTTACTATGCTTTTAACTTTTTGCATAAATGACAGGTTAAACCCCCAGAATGAAGCAGCAAAACGGGGTTTAGAGCGTTTAGAGAAGCAGATGAAGGTTTTCTCTTTTTATTTATTGTGTATTTATTTAAAAATAATTCTGATGCTTGATTATATATATCTCAAATTCTAATCACGCACTGCTGGACTATGTTATCTGAAATAAACGTGTGGTCTTCTCCAACATTATGGTTTGACTAATGGGTGTTGTACATATAACCTTGAAAAGTTTGAGTGAAGTTAAAATTTGTGATTTTGCCTTTGTAGGGAATGGATCCAGATGCACCACCTGAAGAAGATGAAGACAATGATGTTGAAGATGCTGATGGAGATCAAGATGAGACTGAACTTCTTTGAGTATCACTGTCCAAAGGAAATTTGTTCTGATGCACATTACCATGGAAATAGTTTAAAGTTGAGACTGAATTAGCACTAGCAGTAGGGTGGGAATTAACTTGGTGGCCTACAAGCTGTACTTCTGTTTCTTAACTACTGCAAGAGTTCTTCACATCAGAAAACAAAGGATTTCATTATTGCCAACTGTTGCATCTGGCAGTCATACCCTGTGGCTGTATAAGTATGGAATGTATGGATTAGATGGTGAAATTCCATGACCAGAATGAGTGAATGGTCGGGGTTGGACTTTGACCAGATGGTTGAGTTCCAGTTGGTAAGGCCAAGGATGTCTTAGCTGGAAGCTTGTGTTGTCTCCATTGTAAAATCATTTATGTTTGTAAAAGCTACGATATCACATATTTAGTTTTTCACTTTTTGTAGTATGACAATTGCTCATTGAATTGTTTTCATCATAAGTCAACGTGAGATTTCAAGTAGAGCTTTGCTCTTTATTCTTTGCAGTCTAGCTAGTGAAAGAGTAAAATGTGTCTATGCCCACCAAAAATGTTTGATGCCATAATTGATCTCTTATCTCGTGCTGTTTCATACTCGCGTTCCATTTTGATTTATTATTATATTAAAATTTTAATATCTCATTGTTGTTTTATTAATGAAGTAAATGCTTTAACAAAAAACATAAATTTTGTTGCCAACGATTAAAATTATATTCTTTATTTTTCTATATATGTATCTCATTAATTGAAATTCATTGCATAATTCTTATAAACCATTCCATTTTTCTTATTTACTCTTACTCAACCTCTCACTAGATGAAAGAAATCGCTTATAATGACATCATGAGTTTCATGTCTACCGGTTGGATCGTCCATCTGATTTGCCTAATGGAAATAAAATACATAATTCTATATAATAGTCTAGTTACAAAGTGGTGTTTACCCAAACCCTCGATATTTCATTCTACAAGACGTAATATATTCATATTAATATACAATTTTATAATTCTATAATAATTTATTAATCTATGTTATATTCGTTCACAACTCAATTATAATCACACCAGTGAATCGTATCTTCGCCACGTTAATGAGCTTTCTTAAAATAAGGACGGGTGGAAGACAGTGAATTCGCTGATTAAAACTTATGTACAGATCCAATTTTATCATACATTTGTTTTTGAGAGCAAAAGGGTAGTTCCTGTAATAGTGCAACGCTCTCCACCAACTACATTTACCTCATAATAGGAACACTATCTCATCATTTTTCGCTGAAGTTTATAGCCATCATTGACCATTCAAAAACTTCACTACACTTGAAAAGGTTTCCTGGGAGTAGGTGCACGGTTTTCCATTGATTGAAGTCTCTGTTTGAGATGAAAAACTTCAACCTACGCAGCCAAAAATCATGGCAAAGTGTTTGAGAAATCCGTGTATTGTGAGAACATTGAACATTTATCCCACACATTAAGAATTGAATGCCATTGAGAAATTAACACAAACAGCAACTCAATTTGAACATAGATAATTGGACATACAAAACAAAAAGATACATGGTTTACCAAAAAATAAAATAGTAAATAAAAGCTTATCATAAGATTTGCAATCAATCCAACAATGAACCTGTAATTGGAATGCCCTGGTTCTTTCTGCTGCAAGAACCCCTCTGGTAGAGTGCAACTCCTACTAAAACTTTACTCAGTCAATATAATATATCTCTTATAAAGTTATGCTAGTACTTTCCATCAAATGAAGTGTTAACATACCTTCTGTGTATCATCTAAAACAGCCTTGAGGAAAGCCACATCATGCTCAAGCCTTACATTGTCAGAGTGGACCATGTTGGATAGGTTGCTAGCTTCTTCTTGGGCTAACTCTGCACTAGCTACCTTCTCTCTCAGTGATTCCATCTCCTTCAGTGTGTCAGCCAATTTTTTCTCCATCTCCTGCCTGGTTTTAAAGGCAGATGCTAAGCTTTTATCAGCAGCTTCTCTGCTTGTCAATGCAGCTGCCAACTGTCCCTCCAGAATGCCAAATTTTCTTATTAGGGAAGTCAACTTAGTTTCATAATAAAGATGGATATTTGAAGCAGTGGGCAGTGCTCCTGATTTACTGTTTTCAGGGAATGACAAATCATCACTTTCTGGCATGGGGTTTTCAAAACCTATATTTTTTTTATTTGAACTCCCAGATACCAACACCTGTTCCTCCATGTTGGTCTTGGCTCCACTTATGCTCATGTGATTTCTAGGGTCATTTTGATTAGTTCTGTGACTATCTGCCTGAATTATATAACAAAGTACAATATTAGGATAATGCAAACAACGGTTATTCATGTATGCATGTGGAAATAGGGGGCGGATGGGGGATTCTAGGATATGTACTATTAACCATCATGGGTTATAACCACGTTAGAAGAGTATCAAAGCCTTCAAGGTGTAAAAGAAGTATTTTGCATTAAAGAATACAGATGATTAATGGGATTTCTGTTTTACCAGAGGGAAAGAACTTTCATCTTCTGAATGCTTGTCAATCCTAACATCTGCATCGTATTCTTCATGATGATCAAATTGCCTACGAAGAGAGGTGTTGGTAGGGAGAGAATTGGAATCTTGTACTTGCAGGGATTCTGACAGAGATTTCCTTTCAGAACCATGTTCAATTGCAGATGCAAGATTTTGTAGAACAACAGAGTTAATCAACCGTTGGGAAGAGACATTTTTAAGTTGAGAGGCCAATCCATCAGATAATGAATGCTTTTCAAGTAGTATAGATCTTGGACCTTTGGTAGAAGTTGGTTGTCTTCCCAGGGCTGATTCATCCTTTTCTGTTATCAACACTTCCACCTGTTACAGTCAAGAAGGAAATATGTTAAAACTTACAAGTTCAATAAGAATTAACTCACACATCGACTTTACAGAATTATGTCAAACCTGATTTGATGGCTCTTTTTTGGATCCCCCAAATGAAACAAGAAAGTCCTTTTCCTTGTGCTGCATCAGTACTAGGCTAAAACCCTGCTTATACAACAGATATTTGTTTTGAGCAATCTAGACGAAAGCACGGTCAAGCATACCAACAAAATGTTATTCAAGGAGGTTTAAGTCAGGAAATGGATATGTTGAACTTCTAATGCCAAATATAATGCATCTATAGTTTTGTTAGTAGTTAGGAAGGTACATTGTAAATATATTGATAGTGAACAGCTAATAAGTTGTACAACTACAAACATTTCTTGTTAAAAAATGAGACAAAATTAACCAGTTCATTAGGTTCTTCTAATGCTATTTTCCAATCAAAATTAGGGTTTCAACTTGGTAACCAGGGACAACATTAATGCAAACCTTTTAGCAAAGTAAAACATTATGTACTTAACTTTGTTTTTAATAACATTAATGTCCTTAAAAATGAAAACTAAATCATAGCCAGAGATTTCATCAGTTAATATTTAACTTGTCTAATTAAGTCTTCGCCACTAAACCACATTGGGAGCTTGTAACACTTATTCCACCAACTTGAAACAAAATGAGTTATAAAAACAATAAGATATATGGAATACATACATTAAGGAAAATCACTGTTAATTTGTTACTGTCAATGAACAAAAAGTGAAGTAGTAACATGAGGTAGAGTAAACATGACAGGAAAAATAAAAGGCCCACCTTGTTGGTAGTGATAGAAGCTGGTGGCGATGCAATTGCCACAGACCATTCGCTTTTTATAATATCATATATCAAAGTCTCTCCATGTCCTGGAAAGTATAGTGAGAAATTAGAATTTAAGAAAAAGAATAAGACAAGTTCAATGTGAAAGAGAAAGATGGTGACCATAGCTCAATGCATAAAAAAGCATCAATCCGATGATATATAAACAGAGTCTACTTCAAGAATATTATCTACCTCAAGTGCTTGTCTGCTTATTAATATACATTATATTTTCCTTCTTTCCTTTACTGTTGGAATTAACCTCCCCTTTTAGTAATCTGAACTTTTTACAATGTAAGTATTGGATCTCCAGTTCCCAAGGATCATTGATTTAAATGATGGGTCCAATTTTAAATTTTATCAGAAGTATGAAACTTAGAAAATACAAGGTTAATGATGGGTCCAATTGCTAACAAATTCTATACAATCAAAAGCATTTTAATGGTTAATGATTATTGGACAAAAAGGAAAGAGGAAGAACTCATGCAAAATAGCAACCAAGAATTAAATTGGTTACATTTATGCATAAACTATATTTTTAGAAGCTGAAAGAGTAAAAGAATAAGTTCGAAAGATAGAAATAAATAGCATGCGCTAATGTGAACATTATGATTCCTCCATTAAGAAAACATACGTTTTTTCTTGCTTCCACCCCCTGTAATATACCATTTAGTGCCACATAAAACACCACAGCAACCAGCTCTAGGTGATGGATGGAAACCACGTATCTTTATTCTTGACCATGCCATCTGAGGGAACAGATATTTTAAGTATACACTGAATTAATATTTAATCTGCATCTTGGAGAAATCAAAAGGTTTCACTGCATGGTATTGCGCTATAGAGGGCTCACACACCGTTTCAAAGTCAAGTGAATACAAGTCATTCAAGGTCCTGGATTTTGATGCCCCTCCAAATATATGTAGAATTTTACCATCATAAAGAGCTGCCACATGGTTGAATCTTGGAGAAGGTGCTGTTCCCCTGTAAGTCAGATAGTATTTTAGGAGGTACTATGAGGGAAAAAAAAAACAGACCATTACATTTCAAATGCAAAGAAACATTTATGTCAGGTTCTTATCAGTGGATAGTAGGTACCATGAGAGTCCAAACTTTTCTTTTTGAACTTAAAAAAAAATCATAACAAAGCCTAAACACAATTACGTGGAGTGAAGTGGAAGCCATGTCAGGGACTTGAGATCAAACATATGTAGATCATTCAATTTCCTCCTTTTAACGTCTTCTCCCCCAAATAATATTAAAACAGAGTTAGACCTAACAACAGTGTGACCACTGCGAGCAACCTGCCAAGAACAAAATCTTTGTTAGTACAGCCTAGATTCCAATGGAAAAAATTACATTATGATACATTAGTCCAGGAAATGTGTCATATAGTTTCATTGCAGAATTTGCTTGTATTTCCTATATTTTTTGTGTGCAATTGTTTAAGCTTGTGTCTTCCAGAGCAAACTTGTTAACAAATTTTAACTGACACAGAATTATTTCGATTGAGATAAAGAGAGAGTAAATAGAAGTATATGTGCTGAAAACAGTGTTTCAAGTTCAACTACACCAGACCAGACTCAATATTTATATAAATGAATGCAATAAATACAAAGATACAATTTTGTAATTACAATATATCTTTATGATACACTGAACCTAGACAAAATAATGCAAGTTTTTAATACTTACCATGATTCATGAATCATGATTTATTAAGCAATATGATTGGTAAGATATGTACATTGTAATCCAGTAACACATGCCCCAATACGTGGATTTCTAATACTATAGAAACATTTCCCAAGATGAATTTTCTACCACAGGAATTTGCAGTTTTATCAAATGAAAATTCCTACCGGTATGTCTCCCTTTGCTTCCATGAGTGACCAGCACTCTGTCTCTGTATCAAAGGCCCATACTACAAAAACCAGAAGGATTTTTAGCACAATTTTAAAGCATGAACTAGGACAAACTATTGCATATGTGAAAGACATGGGGCTGAACCAGAAATTTTGTCGCTTCCTGGGTCTGTTTTGCCCCCAATGAGGAGTGCTTTTTTCCCCCAAGAAACCTGGTCAAATCATCATCAAGCACAAGAGAATTGAGACTCAAGGTAAAGCATTAGTGAGTATAAATTTAAAAAAGAAGACCATTAAACGATATGAACTTAAGTCAGGGAAGCATGACAAAATGGAAGTGAAACTATAAGAGCATATAGCAGTTGCCCAGAATACCTTCCTTTTCCACCCAGATACATCTACCTTTGCTACTTTGAACTGTGTCCCTGGATATTTTCCTCTGATTTTAAGCATAGAATAATGTCTTTTTATTTTTATTTTTTCTTGTATATATTTTGGTAAGATTTTGATTAACTTAATCTTCAAAGTTGGAGGTCAAAAATTTCAATATAATATATATATTTTCATCATTTCTCCTCTTTTTTCTGCTTAATTCAGGTGGCTTTGTACAAAACCTATTTTATGTTAGGAATAAACTTCATAAAGTGTATACAAGGACCATGAGAGAAAAAGAAAAGAAAACAGAAAATTAAAATGGCATAAATAACATCAGATATAAAATGATAGAGAAAAACTGAAAAATTAGAATGTTACATGTGAAGATTGAAAGTGTTCACAAGGTCAATCAAAAACAGGTTCTTCTGTTTGCCTTGTATATTTTCCAAGAATAAGAGAATCATATAACACCATGTTAGGCACCAGCATGACAATGCAGTATTTAAAATAGAAATATGGGAAAACTATTATCAATTCCGAATGAAATTTGATTGTTTTATCATTAAGCAGTTCATTTATATCATACACAATTTGCAGATGGACAGTGTGCTTCAACATGCCAGGGTGCGCAGATTTCCTTTTTGGGTGCATATTCAAGTTCATGAACTTTGCATCATAACATACATGTTATTCCATATCTACGATGACAGAATCATCAAGGTCACTTGGATAGAACATAAATAAACATGTCAGCATGCTGAGCCTGAGAATATATTGTCAAGACCATAAATTACGGTACCAAACAATGACCCTTGCAAGCTGGAATCTTTAATGGCAAACTGCTCGGCGACAAGTAAAGCTTAGACGAAGCTGCTGTCCATGAAAATCTGTCAAAATTCAGCACCTGAAAACAAAAATGAACAGCATCCAGATCATAGTTTGCATGTTGAGCCAAGCCAACAACCAAATGATAACTTAACATAATTATTTGATGCTAAGCAATCTCCCTATCAAAAATCTTTCAAGTCCAAAACAAGAAATATTCCCTCACCTGCACGTCGTCTAACAATCCACTCCCGGATTCACCACCAACCACAATCATCTTATTCTCAATGACAGCTGCTGCATGCTATTCACAAAGAACAATAGTTAGTCTTTTTGCCACAACAACTCATACGTCACCACACATTTACAAAATTACATACATAGGACCGAGGAGTGGGCTTATCCCCAGCAATTGACAACACCATCCAATTCTCAGAGCTTCCTGAAGCACAAGTACTTATCTCAGGCGCAGCAGATGAAAAGTGGTAATCAATTTCCTCAGAATGACCACTTTTCTCTCCAACTCCATCACCCTGAAAGAAGCTACAAACTTAGTCAGCACAGCACACTCATTGTTTCTACTTTCATATTCAATCCACAAAAGAAATGAAGCTGAAAAACTCACACTGGAGTTCACATTTCGCTTGGGGTGCCTAATGGGACTTCTAGTTCCCTGGGTGGTGTCAGAAAGCTGAACCTTCAATCTGCTGATATCACAAAACAACTAAACATCAGCACTAAAACGAACTAGTTTTACCCCAAAAAATATATATTAAAAAAGAAAAAAACTTTGAAAAGAAAAAAAATCTTGACCTGCCAAGTTTCTTATGCCTACGAGAGAACCCGAACATCTTCTACTTTAAAGCTCAAAACAGAGCCACGAATCAAGTGAACAACAAAAAAGCTGAAAACAAACACTAAAGCTCTTCAAAGGATAATCACATTATCTTCGTAGTCAGAGAATCACTCTAAAAATTGTTCCTTTTCATTGCCCATAAAAGAACTACTACTCACTCAGCTTGGAAAACTCAAAGTCAAGTCAACGCTCAAAATCAAAGAGAAAAACAACAAACATTGTCTCAGAGACAAGAAAGTTCACCGAGTCCAGGCTGTTTGATTCCTAAGAAAGTTGGTGGGAATGAAAAAGAAACTCCAAACGGCACCCAATCGATTGTGTTATGTAGAAAATCTTAACATCAGACTCAGCATTGGGCATGGGCTGGAAACGGTGAAAAAAAACACACACACACACACACACACACAAACAGAGAGAGAGAGAGAAGGCGCACGTTAGCATCACTTGGTAGCAGTTTGCTGTCTTGATGCATGTGGTCATTCTGCTAGGATCTGCTCATGATACGGTGGTTGTTTCTAAATTACGCCAACGCGTTAAAAAACGAAATTACTCCCTCAACTTCATATACTAATATAACCATGAGTTATTTTTTTGGTAGATAAATACTAATAACCATGAAATATCACGCTATAAATACAATTTTTATCATCAATTAAAATTTATTAAAACTTATAAATTCATAAATAAAGTTTATAAATTAATAATAAAAGACCCCCGTAATTTTATAATTTTTAATAAATTTTTGCTAATCATAAAAAATATATATACTAGTTAAAGAATAAATAAAAATATTTTGCTGAACAAATAAAATAAGCTCACTTCCATGTGTTATAATAATTTGAATATAATTTTTAATAAAAAAATATTATTTATTAATTCATAAACTAGTAATACTTTAAAAATTATATTAAAAAAATATGTTATTAACATTTTTATACTAGTTAATTTCACAGAGTTGTATAGGAAAATTTATTACTTTAAAATAAAGCAAATTAAGTAAATAAATTAGACACAAATAGTTATATGTTAATTATAATATGTAGTAATAATTAACTTAATTTGAGTCATTTCAATGAACACTATATCTTCAAAATTAGTTAAAAAAATCAAATAAACATTGTAATTACTCTAGAAATAAGAATTAAGTACTTTTTATTATTTTATGATAATTTTTTTAATTTTTAATTAATATTCCTAAGTTGAGATTGATTAACATTATCTATTTAGTTTACCTACTTAAGTACATTACTTTGAGTAATATAATTAATAAAAGGATTTTTTTAACTGATATTTTTAGGGGTATTAATTAAAGAACTAAAAATAAAAAATGATTATTAAAAATTATAAACAAATATATTATGATATTTTTAATTAAAAATATTTTTTAACATTTCAATCAATACTATTAAAACACTAATTAATTTTTTTTTATTTAAAACTTGAAAGTTAGTATCGGCTGGTGTTAGTAATAAGAAGTTTTTAATTTTAAAAAAAATCATATTAGAATGTTTCAAAATGAAAAAAGGCAGAAATTTTTTTTTATCTAACTTAAGTCCATTTACAATTACTTAAGATAAATATGAAATATTATTAAAGTATTAGTTAAATAAAATTATTATTATTATTAAAATAAAATTTTGTTATATTAAAAGAAAAATATGAATTTCAGTGTTTAAAACTGAATTTAAATAAGTAATAATAATAAATTTTATGAAAAATATTTATTATATTTGTATACTTTTAATATAAGATTATTTTTTAAAATAGTGAAATTTAACTTTAAAAATGAAGATTAAGAAAATAAATATTAAAAATAATAATAACAGGGATGATATAGGGTGGGGTCCCGTGTGCATTGATGGATGCGACAGAGTGGAGCCATGCATGCATAGGGTGGGGCCTTAGGTGTCTCCTTGGGACGTGTTTATCTGTCTTGTGTTATGAGATGAACCAAGTTCAGGCCTCAGGCTCAGGTGACATACACAGAATCGCCACTTTGTTTCAATCATTCTTCCAGTTCAACGCACAAAACTCCTCTGAGAATTTTTGTGTGTGTGCTTCTTCTACCACTGAAGCTGTCTTAATGGGAAAACAAAACATCACTCTATTATTCATTTAATCATAACAGGGGAATGATCAGGTCTTTTATGTTTCCACCTGCGTGGGACAACTTTGTTTTTACACTTCTTTTCTTAAGTGCTAGAAACAGTAATGTGTTTCCATGCAAATTTAGATTTGAATAAATAAAGAGAAATTTGGTTGTAAAAAGTGAATTTAAACACTAATCCAATTTTTTAAAAAAAATTATGAACGAATAAATTAGTTTAAAACGAATGTGAATTTTTGGAATTAATTCCATGTTATCTTGGTAACATGGCTGAGGCTCATATGCTTTTTTAAAAACGAGATTCATGGAAAGGTTGATCATATCTTAATTTTTTTTTAGTATTTTTTTATTTTATTTTAAATTATTAAAAAAGGTTTTTTTTACTTATACCATTATTTATTATAAGTAACTTTATTTTATCATAATAATTGACAAAATTAATTATTTTTTAAGATTTATACATCACTATTAAAATGAAACGGAAGAATTATTTACTATGGAAATACAAAATCAGCTTAAGAATTTTTTTAATGAAATGATGTGCATGTGAAACGATGACTCTGATTAGTGTTGTGTCAGTACGTTGAATACTGGTTCTCGATTGATACAATTTTACTTTGGAATTGTCCGGAATTATCATTTGGCTGCTGCTTTAATTGACTTGATTCAAAGTGTGGAAGCATCGGACAAGACATGAGAGCCATTTTCTAGCTTCCGAAAGACGACTTGGTGGCATATTAATTTTATGCATCTATTTAATGACCTATGGTCTATGGATGAGGAATGAACGTAAGGGTTTGAGTTGCAGTCAAGTTATTTGAACGAGGCTACAAAAGTACATTTGCCCAATTATAAAGTTAATTAAGCTTTTAAATATACTAATAATGTGTGATAATATTTAGTAAGTTTTTTTTCCCTAAGTATTTAACATAGTAACATTTATAAAAACTTAAATTTGAGACTAGAAATTAAATTGAAACATCTTTATACTAATTGATTCTGTGTTCGATAATTAATATTTGAAGAAACGTTTTAGTTAGTCTTGTACTTGGACAAATGTGTACATGTCAATTTTTTTTTCTAATAAACGTGTAAATATCGGTTTATTTACCATAATCATGTCTATGAATTAGTTTTTTTTTATTAAAGTTCTAATTATTCAATATTGGAGATGCTAATGTACAATTTGCTAACTATTAAGTATCGATCCTATATGAGACTAGGTGTTTTCTGAACTTTTTCTACAGAAGTAACATAATATGAAAAGGATAATAAAAAAGCATGATTTAGCTTGATAAGATCATTTGGAGAATAATATTGATGCAAGTTATGTGTGGTTTGTTCACCCGGAAAAAAATTGACAATTTGCATTCAGAGCACCCAAACTTGTGACACCTACATAGGTTGTTATGACCAATTCGAATATTAAGTAAATATCTATATTGACTCATCAGATGAATGTATTTAAAAATAAAATTGGTTTAGGCGAAAAGTTGAATGTAGAAAAACTGATTTATTTATTCATATTTAGAATAACGCTATGACTTTTACTTGGTCAATTTAGTCACTAGCTAGTGGGTTTCACCTGTCTTTTCATTGAGAATAATATTAACTGGATTACATATTCTTTTTCATATAGTTTTTTCATATAATACAATTCTGGGAGACAGATGGTGTTGAAGGTGGTCCAACTCCATCGTGGCCATATCTAGAATACATTTTTCTCTAGAACCCATCCACCTTTCCTTAATTTAAGACTTTAAGAGGCTCTTTAACTCCAAGATATACATGTTCTATTAGTTTTTCTCTCTCTTTTCTTTTTCTAACTTCCCTATATAATTATGTGATGATGCGACAGAGGAACCATGTCTCTGACATGTCGTATTCACTTATACCAAAAGTTTTATTCTATTCGGTGCATTTGTCCCTCATCAACTATGTGAAAAAAAAAAGAGACAAGGTTTGTACCTTTAATGCCTTATCATATGCACAATTATTATTATTTTTGGTCTTAAAATATGCCATTATGCAAATAAAACTTGGTCTTATTTTGTTATGTTACAGAATTCGTAATGCATTACTCGTTTTAACAAATAAGCAAGTACCATGGCTCAGTGATGCAACTAAGTTTATATTGCTAGTTAACTCTTGGCCTTGCATCTGAAAATTAAAATAGAAAGTTTGAAGCCTCTGGTTGGATGTGTTTCAGGAGAGTGCCTTAGTAGATGATCCTAGGCAAAGCCAAAGATAATTTCCCTTGATTTCTTTCTTTTAACTGAAAAAGAAAAAAACAGGATTGGAAGAAGGATTTGCTTTATGTTCACACCATGACCACTCTTAATTTAGAGGGCTAACAAGTTATTGCTTTCTGTGCCCCCTTTTTCTTCTGTAATTTAAATCCAACTATTGCTATGGAAACACAAGTCTCCCTCCCATTCATTTTCCATGAGTCTATCTTTGCCTTATTTCGAATTTAGTATTGTGAAAATGCTGGTCAACCACTATTTACTAGCATGATCCTTAAACAAGCTGTTAAATTTTACATAATCTGCAATTATATCCAATTTATTATAATTAGCAAAAATACAAGTCTACATTCAATACAAAAAAAGGCTAATTAAGTTACAACTTAATCACTCTAGTTAATTAGCCTTATTATTCCAAAATTAGTAGCATAAACTCTATGCTAGTATACATACATCCTATAAAATATCTGGCCGGCTACTATATATAATTTCACCATTATACAAGTAACCAAAATAGATTTATTAGTGCATGATGAGAAAATCATGAATAACTAGTTTCTCAAACCCAAATAGCTCCTGCTCTCCTGAGCATTGGGATCAAGGTCCTGTTTAGGTGAAGGCTCATGACTTCATTGGCTCCACCTACAAGCTCACCACCAATGAACACAGCTGGCACGGAAGGGCTGCACCCTAGCCTTGAAAGAGCTTGCTCAATGTCTTTCCCTCTTGCCATCTCATCAAGTTCATGAACATTTGGATTCACTCCAAAGTCACCAAAAAGGGTTTTGATGGTGTGGCTCATGCAGCATGAACTTTTGCTAAAGATCACCACTGGCCTCTCTGATGCTAATTGTGTCACCGTATCCATTATGCTACTATGTTAGTGTACAAATTAAATATAGTCTCAAGGTTAACCAAGGGTGGAAACAATGCCAAAAGGGTTGAATATTGAGAGTGCTGAGGCAAATGTGAGTAAGGATATCTGAAGGTTTTTCAATGAGGAGTGCTTGAACAAGAGCCAAATGGGGTTTGCTTATATAGGGGTTTGAGGAATTGGTACGGTTGCTTTGGGGGATTGACATTGCTATAAGCAAGCTCGATAAAGAGAAAGATGGAGTGGCTGAGGAGAAAGAAGGAGAAAAGAGGGGAATGTTCCATTAGATATTTGGGTCCGTTTCTAAATTTTATTTGATCATTTGTTTGAAAGTGATTGATCCAAGTTTTCTTTTTATTGTAATGAATATTGTGCATGCATGCATACGGAAACAAAGATATACACCTTTGTACGGCTTCCCCCCCCCCCCCCCCCCAAAAGAAAAAGGGTGCATATCCATTTCATAATTGTTTCTTTTCTAGTGTTATAACTTTGTGCCATTATAACTTTTTTAATATGCTATGTTGGGGGATTTCTGCCTTATCTATCTTGGTGGCATCTGCTGCCTTGAAGAAAAGTTGAATTTATCCAATTGGGACCTCTTTTTTGCTATTAAAATTCGCATCAAATTCTAGAAAGGGAAATTTGTGTATAGTGACCGGATGCTAGATCAACGCAACAAATAACAACAGCTAATTAAGTTTTTTCTCATTATGTGAGATAGGTTGAATAAATCATACCATAAATTTTATACATGTATCAAATATAAAGATAGATTATAAGTTTCTTTTGGTAGAACTGTTTATACAAATAAAACAAAATAGAGGCCTATAAGTACTATGAAGAAAAACAAAGGAGGACTGGTCCTTGATAGCATTCATTTACAACAAGAAATGTGTAACCATTTACGGTAACCAATAACTTCGTATAAGCTTTGCTATGTATATTATTTTTATAATAACATTGCCTGAAAAATCTTTTCATAACAATTTTTAAAGTTTGTTTTCTATAATCTTCAACTACACATAAGCTTGTAGTGAATGACTACCTTTTAAAAACTTTTCCTAATCATCACATGATTTACCGCTTTGTAAAATACATGACATAATTTTCTCATAAAAAATGAATCAAACAAGAAAAAATTTATTCTTTTTTTCGTTTATATCAATTTCTTGAATTGAAATTGCGGTATAGTACGTGGTGGACCTAAGCAGCACGGTCACGGATATTGAGATAATTCAAATATTGACATTTTGAATCAAAAATATTTTGTAAATGTTAAAATAAAATAATAAAATGTTGACTCTTGATTTTAGGTATATTTTTAAAATATGTATGTATATATATATATATATATATTTTAAAATTAAGTGAAAAATAATTATAATTATATGCGGTGGATTTTTTTTTATATTTATAAATAACGGATCTAATCCTTAATCAATTAACTGAAAGTCATTCTTAATCTTTTATATCACATTGTCATCCCATGCCATTGAATACCAACACCTTTGGACTTTTGTCTTACCTTCAATTATCAAAGTTTTTGCCACATAAATTGATTAAACATTAATCTAATTAAGTGTAAAAGACACAGTGAGTTAGTTGAGGTGAAGATGATAGGCAGACTCAACCTAAAAAAAATATAAACTAAAGGGATTGTGATGAATGTGAAGCATAATTGGATTGATGTATGTTTTTTCAGAACTCAATATTAATACTGCAATATGAATTCATGGGTTAGGGAAAGGAACCAATTAGATTATCAGAACTTAGAAGCCCATTAACTTTTTAAACTTGTCTTATTATTATAATTACAGCGAAAGTTAAGATTCTGGGAAAGGTGAAGATAATGCATGGTTGGCTGTGTCCGAGTGATCTCTAGAAAAATCCAATCAAATTAAAGCCACTTGCCTTCTTTCCGACTCGAGTTTGGTTGTCACCAAACGAATCTTGATGGTGCGTGTAATTGATGTTCACTTCCAAAACTGAGAGTTTTTCATATATACATTGGTGTATTTGTAAATTTCACATGTTGCCACGTCTTGCGATAACAACTTGACCACCAAAAAACAAATATACCTACAGTGCACCACCAACAGCATATTTGGCTTTTTTTTATATAAAAAAAAAGTTATTGTTTTAAAAAGTGATTAAAAGTTTTTTCAGGCACAAATTAAATAGGCTAGCTAATTCAATTCCTTCCTTCAAATTAAAGGGATTTTATTCTCCACTAAACGGCTCTACGTATAACCCAAGGGCTGCTTCTTCTCATTCGTCAATTAATTTTATTATATATAAATAAGTTTATTAAGCTCCCTCTAACAATTATATATATATATATAAAAGAGAAATTTTTTTTATACTAATATAAGTTTTAAAAAAAAATTTATATTCGATCTGAGTTTTTCATTTAACTTACATTTAACAGCTAATAAAGTAATAAATTATAACTGTTAAATATAAGATAAATAAAAAACTCAAATTGAGTGTAAGAGTTTTTAAACTTATAAAAAAGTATTGACATGTAGACACTAAAATAAAATATGATTTATACAGGAAAAATATTAAACATTAAAATTACCATTATTAAAACAAAATTATACAATATATAATAGTAACAGAAATTAATCCAATATCAAACCGATATTAAATGATATTTTTTTAGCTATAGGTTTATAAAATACAAAAGTTTAGATGGACTTAAAGTGATTTCAATGATAAAGAGAAATGCAATGACGGATCCTGGCATCACAAATTAGGGTGTCTAGATGGAGTTGGTGAAGTACACAAGTGTACAAATTGCGAGTCTTTTAACCATTTGTATATGATATACGTATTCTTTTTCCAATTCCGAAGAGAATAAGAAAGAAGGGAAAGGACAACCATAAATAAGTTATCCCCTTTTACCTTTTCCATAGCTTTTTAAGATACGAGACAGAGAGAATCCTCTCACGCAGGATCCAAAAGCGCAATGAAAAAATTAAATAAATAGAAAGGACGAAAAGTTCTCTTAAAACTTAAAAGAATTGCTCGGGTCATCGATCATGACCCGTTTGCATTTATTAGTATTTATTCCTTTTGATTATGAAGAAACACATTCTGAGATTTTATTAAGATAGCCTGCCTTATGCGTGTGATTCTTCTAGGGCAGTGCAACTTTGAAAGTTTACAATTAAAATTCCTTCGGTATGAACATTCAAATAAACTAGCCAGTAAGTAAGTGTGAAATATATATATATATATATATATATATATATATATATTAATTTTTAAAAAATCATTTTAATTTAACTCTATTACTATAAATAATATGTTTGAAAATTATAAAAATTTAATAAAATTTAGTTTTAGCTTTTGTAAATGATTGTTTGGAAAAGAGAGTCAAAGAGTTTTCGAAAGAAGAGAAGGAGATAATTTTTTATTTTAAATTAATACATTTAAAACTATTATTTTTAAAACAAAATATATAAATTAATATATTAATATAAAATTAATGTATTAATTATGAATTTATCATTATAAATAATATATAATTTTTAATTTAAAATTAAAAAAATATCTTCTCCTCTCTTTTTTTTAAAAAAAATTTCAAACATATATATATAAATATATATATATATATATATATATATATATTGTCCATTTATTTAAAGTAATTAAACTTAAGAAGTATTTTAATTTAAATGTATGACAATTTTTATTTTCTCAAATTTACTCATTAATTTATGTAATTCCAACAAAGAGCATCTAAATTTAAAACCTCGATATAACTTATACTTAAATGATATATTCTATCAAGAAAAATGGATCACAGAGACTGCATTATACGTAAATAGAATTCTCAAGATTACATAGTATTACAACAATTGATGAGAAAAAATCTGTTAATTTAGGGATTTAGGAATTTGTAGAGGAGAGAGTTGGAATTGAAGATGTGTTTGGAGAAGAGAATTGTCCTTAGAGAAACTTGATTATTTAGATTTGGATGATAGGTGGTATAGAGATATCAAAAAGTCTATTTGGCCTCATCCCAGTTCTAGCTCTAACCCATGTGAGTTAAGGCTAAAATGCTATGCTGGTCAAAATATTTAATAAATTAAAAGTTTTATGGGCCAAAAAACTTTGTGGGCCAAGGTTAGGGTTTCGTGGGCTAAAATATTCATGCAAAAATTACTGTCAAATAATAATTTCTAAATTGTACAAGGCTTGATAATTCCACACTTTTGCAATCTTTCTCAATAATCCTAATTATAAATGAGAACATCACAATTTTAACAATGAACAAAAATATATTCTTGTTGTTTCTTTGCCTTTCACACTTGGTTTTTGGAAACATGGACGAAAATTCTCAATGGAACTATATAACGCCAAAATGTAATCCTAGAAACTTCAAACAAAATTTTTATACAACATATAATTTGGATTGTGAAATATATAGAGGATTAATGAATGTATCATTTTTCTTTAATTTATCATCCCAATGCATTTGTAACGGAATAACAAAAATGAAGATACATACATTTACTTTGTAGCCAAGCTACAAACATAAAATATATCAAAGGTCTGAAACGTATAGTTTCACAAAAAACTCAAATGCAATCATGCATATAACTAACCAAATTCAAATAACATGATTTGACTACATTACATGACACCACATGCTTGAGAAAACCTACAATTTTAAACATTATGAGGTCTTATCAGATGTAAACACAAGAAATAAAATATCATCTAAAGCATTTCCTAACCCTCCCTGATACATGCTTTCTCCAATAGGCATTATTCTTGGTACAATAAAGTAAAGATTAAAGTGTGTGCACACACACAAAAGAAAATTTGGAAGATAAGAGTAGCTCTATGCCCCTAGCCGATAAGAGCCAAAGGTGAAAATCTTGGCATTTGCTTCTTACACAAGTTGTTCATTGAAAATATAAGCACCTGCTTGTTAGTCGTTAACATCTTGTTGCATAATAAACTATAGTGTTTTTGTTTCAAGGCCAAATGCTTTTTTCATCTTCATCTAAAACTCATAAGCAATAAAAATAAAATTAAATAGAATTACATTTATACAAATTATATAATAATCATAAAGCATTATTAAATAAATATTACCACT